CGAGTGCAACTTACCACTGGAAAGTGTCCGGCCTTGCGGAGCTCGGGTAATTGTTCTGCTGTTCGTGGCTGTACTTTAATAATCAGACCAAGTTTAATTTACGCAGATGAAGTTGGTTTCTGATTCCAGCTTCCGATTCGGGAAATGCCTAAAAGGCGATTCCAACTAAATTTTCACTACCTTCCGCATCTTTAATGAACTCTAGCTTAAAAACTACAACACCTAGACACTTTAAACCTGGACTGGATTATTCTGCTCTGGTAGCAGAATATTTAGAACCATGTTTTTGATTTGTGAAGCTTTTACAATATTTGTGAATATTGTAAAGCATCAGCACCCTTGGTCCTTTCTCCACACATAACGACAATCATGAACTCTGGCCAGCACTCTTAGTATGAATTTGATGACACCACTCTGAATCAGTTCTCTTCAGTCGGCGTGTTAGACGCAAAGATCATAATAAGTCATATTATTCAAAATAAATACCTTCTCTGTCTAGCCAGTGCTTTCTCTGGCGGTAGAGGAGCAGCTTGTTGTGGACATAAGGTAACAGAAACTTGACACACCAGCTCTCAACACCAAGCTTGTTCTCCACCAGCACAATGGGACTGCGGTTGTAGCGGGCCTCTGGACACTGGATTAGGCCGATCTCGTCTCTAAAAAACACGGAGACAAGAACAATTAGGGGGACTGGGGAAGAGCTTGCATAGTTTGACAGCGGCAACAACAAATTGCTTTACTGCTGCTATGGCGTGCATTACCATGTGTTAAAGTGTGCATTCACTGGTTGTAAAGAAATATTTTTTTTGTGCAAATGAATTAAATTGAATCACTGAGAATGGATCAAACTGTCATATGATGTGGTGTTTTTGGAATGACATTGTACAGGCATGATCGAGTTTGCGGCGAATCCGCCGGTACTCTATCTACAAAGAGAATAAGACTCAATTAGCGATGTAATCAGTCTTTCCATCTCTATATCTATACGTTGTTTGTATAAACAGTAATGTTTCAAAAACCAATGCTACTGTATGAAGAAAAAATATCCAAACAGGCTTACAAAACACAAAAGTTTCTATACATTCGTTACTCCGAGCCGCAGGTAAAACATCTGATTCCGGATGTTGTTTAAATCAGGATTCAATAGGTCCCAAACACAGCCTTCCATCGTGTTTAAACTCAACAACTTACATGTTGGGGTGTCTTTTGAATGCGATACTGATGTCTTTGACAACTCTTTGGACCAAGACGTCAACCTCCTCCTTTGACTCCGCCATTTTTTCGTCGCCGGGCAGCTGGATCTACTTCCGGATTAACAGAAAAAATACTACGGAAACATAGGAGGGGCAAGTTTATGTACTTAAGATGTGCGTCTTTGTTTAGCGAAGACAAGAACCAGGCTAGATGAATTAAAAAAAAATCTATGCCTGGGCAAAAGTAGTGCTTTACCAATAATATTACTATATTAATTGAAAGAATCATTTAGTCATCTTTTTAATAAATAAACAACATAAAATGTCAAAATAGACAACACAAGGTTTAAGTTAGCATTTCATTTCAATTTCCCAAATGTTTGAGTGGTGACATCAAAAGAAAATGTGTACACTAATGTAGTTTATAACTATAGGATGAACATTGATTATTTACTTCAAGAATAACCCTTTAAGATGTGTTGTTTTGTTTTTGAGGGGGTACTTAAAACCAAAAACCAAAAAAAAAAAAAAAAACAAATAAAAAAAAACAATAGAACTTGAAATAAATAAATCAAGAAAAAACAAAACAGAAACAGACAAAATAAATAAAATAAGACAAAACACGTACATATAAATTCATGACAACTTCATGCTACATACACTCACACCAAATAAGAAAATACATATTCACATGCAAATAGATATTCACATGTACAGAGTACATGTGAATATCCATGTCAGAGGAGTAGGGCTAGAATAAATGAGTCTTTGATCTTATTGAAAGCAGGAGCAAGATATTTGAAAATAAGTAAATAAAGACAAGTTAAAAATATGAAAAGAGGTCATACAAGTGAGGGAGGTAAATTATTCCAATCTGATGGAGCTTTAAATTACATGATATCCAATTTCTTTTCTAACATTTGGTATGAGAAAAACTGAACAGTATTTATCAGGCTATAAATGTAACTAAATTGCATTAAGTATTATTTTAAATATGGAGGGAAATTAAAATAGATACATTTAATAGTAGTTAACAACTGATTCAATTTTCTGTTGGCCTGGGGAACTAACCAGTTTATAGACTTGTACATAAGGCAGTGGTGAGTGCATTTATTCTAAAATTAAACCTCAGTTTTATTGCAGATATTTAATTAAGTGTAAATATACTCTTTCACACATGTTGGTAGAAGTTATTTGCATTTACCCAACAGGTATGACCTGTAGGTGATCATTGACATGCAGGTTTGTGGATAACTACTTCTTTAGATATGCAAGAAGGGTCTAAAAGAGGATTGATACACTGTAGCTGTATAACACTCATTGCCAAAAAAATATCTAATTTAGTACAGAAATTGTCATATGATAGTATCTTCCCACATATGTCTAAGAGATCAAAACTTTAGTATTTTTATTTATCTGTTTTTATAAAACAAAGTTTTATTTCTACTTAGGATATTTCTGTTGTTAAACATATGTGTAGAACAAGGTATAAAGGCATAAGGTTATGTTTGTGCAGTGGTGATCTGTAACAGAGTACATTTACTAGACTAATGTATTAAAGTAGATACTTAAGTATTTTTACTTGAGGTTTTTTTTGTTTTTTTTTTTTTTTTTTTTTTTTTTTGGAACTTGTGACTTTCACTCTATTACATTTCAAAGACAAATTTTGTCAACTCCACTATATTTCTAGGAAGCTTGTCATTACTTGTTCCTTTTGGCTCAACTGTTGCAGAGAACTATTCTGCTTAAACATTGGTTGCTGTACTTAAACAGCAACCAATCAATTAAAACAAGGCTAATGAACTCAATCACAGAAATATTTAAGCAAGGTGTTAATATTTCTTTTTCTTCTTTATCACTTTGTTTTGAAATGGTTTTACAAGATTGCAAATGACCTGCTAAACTGTAGTTTAAAAGATTAATGCGTAATAATATAATACCTACATACGATTGTACATATATACTGTTAACCCAAGTAGTTTTGTTTGTATTGGCACAAATACAGTAGTGGACAGTTTGGTTCCCCTTCTCCTGACAAGAAACAGTAATACAAAACGGTTCCCCTTTTCTACCGGGTCACCAGGAAATAATTTCAAAACTGTTATCGTATGTACATTGTATCCTGCAGCTGTTCCTTTGGTAAACTTCAAAATGTAAAAAATAAATAAATAAGTAAATAAGTGGTTATTTATTAGTATAACCAAATAGCAAAGCAGTTTTTAATTGATTTTACTTTGATTTCACTTTTTGTAATAACCCAGCAAGATTGAAGAGAGAATTCCTGACTTGTCATAATTGGTGGCAGTTGTGAAGGTGTGACAGAGACAATTGATTTAGAAGCAATTAAATTATAATCAGCAGTTTGGCCTCAGTGGGATTTTGACTGACAAGCTCAAGATGTTCATGGCCAATAATTTCCTATATTGATTATGTTGAAAATGTTTCTCCAAAGCATCCTGTCAAATATATTCTAATTAATCCTAGTCATTTACCTAATGAATAAATACAAACCCTCTAATAGAAAAATATTGGAGGATACTAGGGACTGTTTAATTGAAATACAATTCACCAAAAATATTACGGTAAGGAGAAACATGATGACATGTCTGTAGTAGTAGTACTACTAGATTGTACTACTGTACAATCTAGTAGTTTATAATCAGTTGCCACAGACTTTCTGTTTTACTCCTATTAGCAATATTCAGTATGAATACTATAAATTATTTTTAAAATAGTTTTGTCCCCTACTATAAAAATTAAAGGGCAAAATATCATTGGATAGCACAATTCTGCATGACCACTAGATGGAGCTGGCTAATTGTCTTCTCTAGTGCTTCCAGGTCAAATTGAATGAAAACAAACTGACAAGCTGCATTTACCACTAAATTAATATCGTTTCAAGTACAGTTTTTATTTTTCTTCCCTATAACACGTAAAAGGAAAACAACTGTTGTACCTCAACCTTAACTTTTATATTTACAAAAAAGTTTGAGTGTAATTTGCAGGATTTAATTTCTTATTTGAAGGAATAAATTTTTGGGCATATGCAATGTATTAATTTATATAAATTGAACTACATTTATTAACGTGATCTAAGACTACATATTCCTGCCAGGTCATTCTAACTGGGCAATAAATAAATCAATTCAATTCAATTCAGTTGATTTATATAGTCCTAATTCACAACAAATGTTGCCTTGAGATACTTTACAAAAAAGTCATTTCAATTCAGTTATACATACATCTCAATTAATTCTAGTTATCAATTATGAGAATTGATTGTAATCATTACAATTCATTGATTACTATTAAGCTCAGTTTATTATTCAAATTAGTTTAGAAAGTGTCTGTCTAAGGAAACCTATAGATATCATTGAGTCATTAACTTGCAGCATTCTCTTCTTCTGGACAAGCACATGGCAACAGTTTGAGTTATGTAGTTGACTTTACAGCAACAACTGCATACCAAGAATGCACACCAGCAGCAACAGTGGAGAGGAAAATCTCCCTTTTATAGAAAAATCCAGCAGAACCAGAGCCTGGCTCAGTTCGAGCGGCCATCTGCCACAACCGACTAGGGGTCAGAAAAAGATGAAACATATCCTTGCCCTGTGTTTCTGAGGATAAATAGAATATTATTAGTGAAACTTTTTTTTTCTCTGAAAACCAGGGTTATACATTTAAAAGCAATTTAACATAAAAAAAAAAGAACTTAGCGAAGCCCTATCTTGTTCTGATTAGTTTGGGTTATTTGCACCACTCTCTGAGTTGAGACAACATATCACATACCACACACACACTAAAATGGCTGAATTCAGATTAAAACCACTAACAACTTACATCCTCTGCAATGCTGAGTATGATGTCTGTGCATGCAGGTGGACTCTGCTCAGCTGATACATGTTAAATGTAACTTAACAATTCCACTTTAAAGACCAAATATAACATTTTCTATGCATTAAATTCAGGTCAGTTTATTTGCATTGCTCTGATTCACAAATCTTGTCTTGAGATAGCTTACAAAACAAACAACCCAGTTTTTACACAAGAATAACAAATTAAATCAATAAAACGATTACGCTTTAATTATACAAGTTTCAATTAGATTATTTGTTCTTAGTTATTTATGCAAAGTTAATGCAAGTTTTACTTATGCATTATCACTATTTTAAAAAAATCTTTATTAAGCTAGTATCAGTTCTGTCATACATACAGGTAAATGGCCCAACAATTATACTGTAAAGGAAATATTCATAGGTTGAAGATGATTGTATTTAAAGAAACATTATGTTTTCTAAAGTCTTAACAAATCACATGTGGACATTTTATTAGAGAGTGACCCATGAATAGATTATTTACCAAACAGAAGATGAGAAGAAATTTCTGTGCTCACAATCAGATTCGCCCACTAGAATCTGTTTGTGGACGAAGTAGAATTTTACACAGAGAACTGTAAAAAAGAAACAACTGTAAGCCCTGTTAGTAGACATTTATCAATATTTACACAAGTCATCCTGTGTAAAACATGTGCAAATTATATTCTGAAAATTTGACAGCAGAAAAACTGATAAAAATGCTTCAAAACTCAGATGCAATATGCTCAAATAAAGTTTGAGTGTCAGGAACATGATTTAGCCATTGCTCGGCATCTCAGAGGTGTAACCTAATCATCTTGATGAAAGAGGTGTCTCAGGATCAGAGGTGTTAATGGGCTGGTCTCTGCATTCATTGTGGTAGTGAACAAGCACCACTTGTTGCCAAATTCAGCTCAGGTCTCCCACATTCAACATTTACCTTTAGTCAAGAAAATATTTAAAGCTTGTGTTCTTGGATTGAAAGTCAACTTTGAATAACTTCTGGAAAAAGATGGCAACCAAACCTTTGGTAAGTGTCTTTATTTCTGTCTAGACGTTAAACCTCTGCAACTTTACAATAGCTCAGGTTTACTTTGTCAATATATCTATAACTTGAGCTGATGTTACTTAAGTTATTGGATATTTTACTTTCTTTTAGACATTTTCATATTTTAAGTAACCCAAATTATTTCTGGATCAATTAGACAGCAAAAGTTTTTAGCTGAAAAATGACAGTAATGAAGGGGTAAAAAGATTAACTTATGGTCTCTTGACAGTCTGGCTCCTG